GAACTACCACTGCACTGCCGTACATTACGTCTCATCATTGTTACAGTACTTTATCATGAACTACTTCTGCACTGCCGTACATTACGTCTCATCATTGTTACAGTACTTTATCATGGACTACCACTGCACTACCATACATTACGTCTCATCATTGTTACAGTACTTTATCATGAACTACCACTGCAATGCCATACATTACGTCTCATCATTGTTACAGTACTTTATCATGGACTACCACTGCACTACCGTAGATTACCTCTCATCATTGTTACAGTACTTTATCATGGACTACCACTGCACTGCCGTACATTACGTCTCATCATTGTTACAGTACTTTATCATGGACTACCACTGCACTACCGTAGATTACCTCTCATCATTGTTACAGTACTTTATCATGGACTACCACTGCACTACCGTAGATTACCTCTCATCATTGTTACAGTACTTTATCATGGACTACCACTGCACTGCCATACATTACGCCTCATCATTGTTACAGTACTTTATCATGGACTACCACTGCAATGCCATACATTACGTCTCATCATTGTTGCAGTACTTTATCATGAACTACTACTGCAATGCCATACATTACGCCTCATCATTGTTACAGTACTTTATCATGGACTACCACTGCACTGCCGTACATTACCTCTCATCATTGTTACAGTACTTTATCATGGACTACCACTGCACTGCCATACATTACGCCTCATCATTGTTACAGTACTTTATCATGGACTACCACTGCAATGCCATACATTACGTCTCATCATTGTTGCAGTACTTTATCATGAACTTCCACTGCACTGCCGTACATTACCTCTCATCATTGTTGCAGTACTTTATCATGAACTACCACTGCACTGCCGTACATTACCTCTCATCATTGTCGCAGTACTTTATCATGAACTACCACTGCACTACCGTAGATTACCTCTCATCATTGTTACAGTACTTTATCATGAACTACCACTGCACTACCATACATTACCTCTCATCATTGTTACAGTACATAATCATGAACTACCACTGCACTGCCGTACATTACCTCTCATCATTGTTACAGTACTTTATCATGAACTACCACT